TTATACTCACTCTCAGTGTGTGTACACTGTGGGGTTATACTCACTCTCAGTGTGTGTACACTGTGGGGTTATACTCACTCTCAGTGTGTGTGTACTGTGGGGTTATACTCACTCTCAGTGTGTGTGTACTGTGGGGTTATACTCACTCTCAGTGTGTGTGTAACTGTGGGGTTATACTCACTCTCAGTGTGTGTGTACACTGTGGGGTTATACTCACTCTCAGTGTGTGTGTACACTGTGGGGTTATACTCACTCTCAGTGTGTGTGTACACTGTGGGGTTATACTCACTCTCAGTGTGTGTGTACTGTGGGGTTATACTCACTCTCAGTGTGTGTGTACACTGTGGGGTTATACTCACTCTCAGTGTGTGTGTACTGTGGGGTTATACTCACTCTCAGTGTGTGTACACTGTGGGGTTATACTCACTCTCAGTGTGTGTACACTGTGGGGTTATACTCACTCTCAGTGTGTGTGTACCTGTGGGGGTTATACTCACTCTCAGTGTGTGTGTACACTGTGGGGTTATACTCACTCTCAGTGTGTGTTACACTGTGGGGTTATACTCACTCTCAGTGTTTGTGTGTACACTGTGGGGTTATACTCACTCTCAGTGGTGTGTACTGTGGGGTTATACTCACTCTCAGTGTGTGTGTACTGTGGGTTATACTCACTCTCAGTGTGTGTACACTGTGGGGTTATACTCACTCTCAGTGTGTGTGTACTGTGGGGTTATACTCACTCTCAGTGTGTGTACACTGTGGGGTTATACTCACTCTCAGTGTGTGTGTACTGTGGGGTTATACTCACTCTCAGTGTGTGTACACTGTGGGGTTATACTCACTCTCAGTGTGTGTGTACTGTGGGGTTATACTCACTCTCAGTGTGTGTGTACACTGTGGGGTTATACTCACTCTCAGTGTGTGTACACTGTGGGGTTATACTCACTCTCAGTGTGTGTACACTGTGGGGTTATACTCACTCTCAGTGTGTGTACACTGTGGGGTTATACTCACTCTCAGTGTGTGTGTACTGTGGGGTTATACTCACTCTCAGTGTGTGTGTACTGTGGGGTTATACTCACTCTCAGTGTGTGTACACTGTGGGGTTATACTCACTCTCAGTGTGTTGTCACTGTGGGGGTTATACTCACTCTCAGTGTGTGTACACTGTGGGGTTATACTCACTCTCAGTGTGTGTGTACACTGTGGGGTTATACTCACTCTCAGTGTGTGTGTACTGTGGGGTTATACTCACTCTCAGTGTGTGTACACTGTGGGGGTTATACTCACTCTCAGTGTGTGTGTACACTGTGGGGGTTATACTCACTCTCAGTGTGTGTGTACACTGTGGGGTTATACTCACTCTCAGTGTGTGTGTACTGTGGGGTTATACTCACTCTCAGTGTGTGTACACTGTGGGGTTATACTCACTCTCAGTGTGTGTGTACTGTGGGGGTTATACTCACTCTCAGTGTGTGTACACTGTGGGGTTATACTCACTCTCAGTGTGTGTGTACTGTGGGGGTATACCACTCTCAGTGTGTGTGTACACTGTGGGGTTATACTCACTCTCAGTGTGTGTGTACTGTGGGGTTATACTCACTCTCAGTGTGTGTGTACACTGTGGGGGTTATACTCACTCTCAGTGTGTGTGTACTGTGGGGTTATACTCACTCTCAGTGTGTGTACACTGTGGGGTTATACTCACTCTCAGTGTGTGTACACTGTGGGGTTATACTCACTCTCAGTGTGTGTGTACACTGTGGGGTTATACTCACTCTCAGTGTGTGTACACTGTGGGGTTATACTCACTCTCAGTGTGTGTGTACACTGTGGGGTTATACTCACTCTCAGTGTGTGTACACTGTGGGGTTATACTCACTCTCAGTGTGTGTGTTCTGTGGGGTTATACTCACTCTCAGTGTGTGTGTACTGTGGGGTTATACTCACTCTCAGTGTGTGTACACTGTGGGGTTATACTCACTCTCAGTGTGTGTGTACTGTGGGGTTATACTCACTCTCAGTGTGTGTACACTGTGGGGTTATACTCACTCTCAGTGTGTGTGTACTGTGGGGTTATACTCACTCTCAGTGTGTGTGTACTGTGGGGTTATACTCACTCTCAGTGTGTGTGTACTGTGGGGGTTATACTCACTCTCAGTGTGTGTGTACTGTGGGGTTATACTCACTCTCAGTGTGTGTGTACACTGTTGGGGGTTATACTCACTCTCAGTGTGTGTGTACTGTGGGGTTATACTCACTCTCAGTGTGTGTACACTGTGGGGTTATACTCACTCTCAGTGTGTGTACACTGTGGGGTTATACTCACTCTCAGTGTGTGTGTACACTGTGGGGGTTATACTCACTCTCAGTGTGTGTACACTGTGGGTTATACTCACTCTCAGTGTGTGTGTACACTGTGGGGTTATACTCACTCTCAGTGTGTGTGTACACTGTGGGGTTATACTCACTCTCAGTGTGTGTGTACTGTGGGGTTATACTCACTCTCAGTGTGTGTGTACTGTGGGGTTATACTCACTCTCAGTGTGTGTACACTGTGGGGTTATACTCACTCTCAGTGTGTGTACACTGTGGGGTTATACTCACTCTCAGTGTGTGTGTACTGTGGGGGTATACTCACTCTCAGTGTGTGTACACTGTGGGGTTATACTCACTCTCAGTGTGTGTGTACTGTGGGGTTATACTCACTCTCAGTGTGTGTGTACACTGTGGGGTTATACTCACTCTCAGTGTGTGTACACTGTGGGGTTATACTCACTCTCAGTGTGTGTACACTGTGGGGTTATACTCACTCTCAGTGTGTGTACACTGTGGGGTTATACTCACTCTCAGTGTGTGTACACTGTGGGGTTATACTCACTCTCAGTGTGTGTGTACTGTGGGGTTATACTCACTCTCAGTGTGTGTGTACTGTGGGGTTATACTCACTCTCAGTGTGTGTACACTGTGGGGTTATACTCACTCTCAGTGTGTGTGTACACTGTGGGGGTTATACTCACTCTCAGTGTGTGTACACTGTGGGGTTATACTCACTCTCAGTGTGTGTACACTGTGGGGGTTATACTCACTCTCAGTGTGTGTACACTGTGGGGGTTATACTCACTCTCAGTGTGTGTACACTGTGGGGTTATACTCACTCTCAGTGTGTGTACACTGTGGGGTTATACTCACTCTCAGTGTGTGTGTACTGTGGGGTTATACTCACTCTCAGTGTGTGTACACTGTGGGGTTATACTCACTCTCAGTGTGTGTACACTGTGGGGTTATACTCACTCTCAGTGTGTGTACACTGTGGGGTTATACTCACTCTCAGTGTGTGTACACTGTGGGGTTATACTCACTCTCAGTGTGTGTACACTGTGGGGTTATACTCACTCTCAGTGTGTGTGTACTGTGGGGTTATACTCACTCTCAGTGTGTGTGTACTGTGGGGTTATACTCACTCTCAGTGTGTGTGTACACTGTGGGGTTATACTCACTCTCAGTGTGTGTGTACTGTGGGGTTATACTCACTCTCAGTGTGTGTGTATTGTGGGGGTTATACTCACTCTCAGTGTGTGTGTACTGTGGGGGTTATACTCACTCTCAGTGTGTGTGTACACTGTGGGGGTTATACTCACTCTCAGTGTGTGTGTACACTGTGGGGGTTATACTCACTCTCAGTGTGTGTGTACACTGTGGGGTTATACTCACTCTCAGTGTGTGTGTACACTGTGGGGTTATACTCACTCTCCGTGTGTGTGTACTGTGGGGTTATACTCTCTCTCAGTGTGTGTGTACTGTGGGGTTATACTCACTCTCAGTGTGTGTGTACTGTGGGGTTATACTCACTCTCAGTGTGTGTACACTGTGGGGTTATACTCACTCTCAGTGTGTGTACACTGTGGGGTTATACTCACTCTCAGTGTGTGTGTACACTGTGGGGTTATACTCACTCTCAGTGTATTATAGTGTGTACACTGTGGGGTTATACTCACTCTCAGTGTGGTGTACTGTGGGGTTATACTCACTCTCAGTGTGTGTACACTGTGGGGTTATACTCACTCTCAGTGTGTGTACTGTGGGGTTATACTCACTCTCAGTGTGTGTGTACACTGTGGGGTTATACTCACTCTCAGTGTGTGTACACTGTGGGGTTATACTCACTCTCAGTGTGTGTACACTGTGGGGTTATACTCACTCTCAGTGTGTGTACACTGTGGGGTTATACTCACTCTCAGTGTGTGTACACTGTGGGGTTATACTCACTCTCAGTGTGTGTGTACTGTGGGGTTATACTCACTCTCAGTGTGTGTACACTGTGGGGGTTATACTCACTCTCAGTGTGTGTGTACTGTGGGGTTATACTCACTCTCAGTGTGTGTACACTGTGGGGTTATACTCACTCTCAGTGTGTGTGTACACTGTGGGGGTTATACTCACTCTCAGTGTGTGTACACTGTGGGGGTTATACTCACTCTCAGTGTGTGTGTACTGTGGGGGTTATACTCACTCTCAGTGTGTGTGTACTGTGGGGTTATACTCACTCTCAGTGTGTGTACACTGTGGGGTTATACTCACTCTCAGTGTGTGTGTACACTGTGGGGTTATACTCACTCTCAGTGTGTGTGTACTGTGGGGGTTATACTCACTCTCAGTGTGTGTACACTGTGGGGGTTATACTCACTCTCAGTGTGTGTACACTGTGGGGGTTATACTCACTCTCAGTGTGTGTACACTGTGGGGTTATACTCACTCTCAGTGTGTGTACACTGTGGGGGTTATACTCACTCTCAGTGTGTGTGTACACTGTGGGGTTATACTCACTCTCAGTGTGTGTGTACTGTGGGGTTATACTCACTCTCAGTGTGTGTGTACACTGTGGGGTTATACTCACTCTCAGTGTGTGTGTACTGTGGGGGTTATACTCACTCTCTGTGTGTGTGTATTGTGGGGTTATACTCACTCTCAGTGTGTGTACACTGTGGGGTTATACTCACTCTGTGTGTGTGTACTGTGGGGGTTCCTCACGCGCTCTCAGTTCTCCGCTTCAGTTTAAAATGTAACCGACGCTCCTCTTCCGCCAAACAAACGGTCATTTCCGCTCTCGCGGAGCAAACCGCCGCTTCCGATTGGTGAGCGCGTCGCTCCTCTGTGACGCCATCCGCCGCCTGTGGCGGGGAGGGGGAGGGGGACGCGAGCCGGTCGCCAGGGGTAACCGGCGGCGGCTGCTGCGCACGCGCCGTGTCCTGGGCCAAGTGATTGACAGTGGCTCCGCACGCGCCAAAGACCCGCTCCACACAATGGGGAGGGCGGGAAGCTGCAGCTCTGCTCACTGTTGTCAACTGCACTTTTCCCATTGCATTATTTTCGTACCTAAACTGGATTTAACAGGAGTCACTGTTCTGCGTTAGTCACATCTCGCCCGCAAAATATACAGTCACTACACTTTACAGTGTATTGTGTGAAGCGCTTTCGAGACGTTTAGAAGATGTGACAAGGCGCTATATCAAATGCAAGGATTATTATTAGTCGATGGTCCTTGTGGTTCATTCACAGAAGTGGGCGTTTAATAAAAATAAACCTTGTATCTGATGCAGCTCCTTGTCACGTCGTTGAGACGTCTCAAAGCGCTTCACAAGCTATGACGTAAAGTGGATTGCTTGTATATTTTATGGGCGAAACCCAGTAGCCAGTTGCACAGACCAATGTCCCCGTTACAGTGAGTGACTAATTTTATCTGGGGGATTGTTGGCCAGGAGTAACTTCTCTTTTTGAATAGTGCTTTATTTTATCACAGGCAGATGGGACCCCAGTATAATGTCTCATCTGGCAATGAAACACGCCCCCAGCGCTGCATTGGAGTGCCAGTTCAGACTTCCAAGTCCTGACGTGGGGCTTGAAACCACAACCTTCTGACTCAGAGCTGAGCGTGATACCATTAAACCAGGCTGACATGAGAGTAAAGAGAGAGAGAAATGTATATTAAATTTAACAGTGATTTAACAGTAATGAACATTCCCACTACACCCCTCTCTCAGATGAACACCTGAACGCTAAACTGACAGGACAAACACACACAGGACATTTCAACCCCTAGCGACCCGCTATGAAGCCACCACAAACCTGTAAACACCAAAATTAGTCTCTGTAACCCAAGAAGAAGCTAATGAACTTCTGCACTGTACAATTTGCCCTTTAATATTAAACTGCAAAATATTAAATTCATAACATTTAGAAAGAGCTTCTTTATCTAAAAACCTAGTCTGTAATGTGAAAAGATAATTAAAACCCCAAAACTAATACTAGACGATTAAACACCCCAAATTCCTATTGCTCCAAAGGATGACTAATCCCAAGATCTTCTAAAAAGTTCTGAAACCAGTCTACAACAATAAAAACAACAAATTACATTTGTAGAGCGCCTTTCATGTCGGGAGGACGTCCCAAGTCCAGACTGCTTAGTCTATCCGAGACCAAAAAAATTAATGCTAAAAGATTAACTTTAAATTAATCTAAATTATTAATTTAGATTAATTTAATTTATAGCTAGCTGGAACCAAATTCTCTAACCCCCAGATTCTTTAAAAGGCTGAGACCTGCGCCCCAAGTCTTTACTGTTAACTCTAATTCAGACCTTGACTAATGTTAGACCCCTATCTCAGAGCATAAGGCAAAAAATATGCACCTGTAATTTAAAAACCTACAACAACAACAACAACAAGATTCCATTTATTGAGCGCCTTTCACGTCGGGAGGACGTCCCAATGCGCTACCCCTGCTCGCCTGCCTGCCTGCCTTTCGTGTTGGGAGGGTATCACTTTGCTAGATTTCACTCTGAAGTGTCATGGCTGTGTATTTGTGGGTGAGCGCAGAACCTAGTTTGTGCACAGCAGTTATCAGACAGGCAGTCATGAGGTGAATGACCAATTTTATTTGGGGGATTGTTGGCCAGGAAACTCCCTTTTGTTTTTGACGAGTTTTAATGGAACTTTTCTGTGCAGCTGAGGGTTTTTGATAGAGATAAAGTATTTCCACTTTCCACTTTCCATTGACTGGAGGGCATCAATTTAAAATAGTTAGCAAATGGGAAAGTTAGGAGAATATTTTTCACCCACAGAGTTGTAACATATGAAATGGCCATTGGTTGAGGCAGAGCATTGGGTGAGGTAGAATCTATATTGGCTTTTAACTAGATAAATAACCTAAAAAGGAGTCAAATTTGGGGGATTGGGTAAGGGCAAGTAAATGAGTCTGAAAAAATAGCTCTTAAAAGAGCCAGCACAGATATGGTGGGCTGAATGACCATGCTCAGTGCTGAATATTTCCATGGTTCTATGATGTTTTACCATTAATATCTATATCTAATGTGTTAATTATAATAAAATAATCTTTGCATTTAATGCAGTGCCTTTAATAGTAAAACATCTAAAAATGCTTCACATTAATTCCTGTCAAGTGTAGTGACTCTGTATTCTTGGGAAATTGCAGTCAATTTGTACACCACAAGTCCCCCAAACAGCCATGAAGTGAATTATCTGGGACCAAGACACCAGGAGAAACTTAGTTTTGTTTTGAATTGCATTTTAGCCAGCAGAACAGGGAGATGGGATCTGAGTTTATTGGCTCATCTGAAGGATGGTACCTCTGGCTAAGTAATTCTTGAGCACATTGTAATATATTTGGTTTACTAGATCTCCTGTCTGGTTACCGCCAAACTGACCTCTCTAATCCTCACAAGCTGACAGCAAAAATGTTCTTTGTTTCACCTGCCAGCAAACCTGTGGAAATTGGTATCTTAAGCAAAATTAACTTCATCTATACAGTTTGAATTGAGCTTTCAATAACCACTAGATGTTCGATATATCCTGATCTCATTAAGCACATATTTATTTGGCTATTTGTTCCTGATTCCACTACATAATAAAAAGGTGTTGTTGTATGCAGAAAAGTAGGGTATGTGGGACCCTGTAGATACATACAATATTTTAGTTCAGTTGGAATGTGTTTCATTTTGCATCTTAATGAAGTGCTCTGGATTTTCCAGTTACAGTTTTCTATAATTTGCTGTACACATTAAAGTCTTTATTTTGCATTTACATTACTCCAGAGTGTTTTTAAACAGATGTTTAACACCCACATGAGTATGCAGCCACACCTCAGCTTAATGTTTCATCTGAAGGTTTAGTGAGTTGATACAGCAAGTAGTTAAGCTATGAAAATGCCAGATTCAGTCCCTGGTCTGCGCTGAGTTTGCTGATCTCAGGATCCCAACTTTGGGAGAAAAAAAAATCTAGCCTTCCCATTTACCACTGATGTCCAGTGATCTTTGTTAGAAGTTTCTGGAGAACAATAATATAGCTTGGCTGCTATAACAACAACCATTTACATTTACACTATATAGCATCTTTCATGTCAGGAGAACGTCCCAAGGCACTGGACAGTCCAAGGTTTCCACCCAAGTTAGGGATGGGGATGAGAGGGTGGGAGGGGGAAAGATGACCGAAGGTGCAGTCAAAAAGGAAGGTGGACCTTGAAAGAAACGAGGGAAGGGGTGAGTCATTGGGAATCCAGGACGGAGTTCCAGAGAATATAAGGTCTAAAGCCTGCTGACAGTCATTGCATACAATACAGTACAAAATTCCATTTGTAAAGCATCTTTCATGTCGGAGGATGTCCCAAGGCGCTTAACAGTCAGGGATTAGGACCTGAGCGGGGGATGGGAGTTGGGATCAGGAGGGTGGAGGACAGATAAGGTAGGGGGGTGGCGGAGGCATGGTCGAAGAGGAGGGTCTTTAGGCATGCCTTGAAGGAGGTAAGGGAGGGAGCAAGGTGAAGGGAATGTGGGCTGGAGTTCTAGAGGGTAAGGGCAGAGAGGCTGAAGGCCTGACCGCTGATGGTGGGGCGGATCGGGCTGGGGACATGGAGCAGGCTAGAATCTGCTGAGCGGAGGGAGCGGACAGGTTGATAAGGAGGTAGCAGGTCAGAGAGGTAGAAGGGGGCAATGCCATGGAGGGCCTTGAGGGTGAGGAAGAGAATTTTGAACTTGATCCTCTGAAGGATGGTGAGCCAGTGGAACCCGGGCGAGGGTGGGTGTGATGGGATCACGGAGCCCGGTGCAGGAGAGGACACGAGCTACAGAATTCTGGATGAGCATAGACTCACGTATGAATAATGCTTATTTCGGTAAGGTAATGGAAGGTCATGGAGATCCATTTTACCCCTAGGAGAAAAGTACCAGTACTTCTTCAGTGTACTTGGTTGAATACTATGCATTGGAACACACCACATTTTGACAGCCCCATTAGAAAGGTTGTTATTCTTCAAAAGTACAATTAGTAGAACTAACACATACAAATTTCTGCAGTGGTATTCATCTTTTATCTACAGTATTATACCATAATCTACTCTGGCATTTTTGATGGCAAACAACGAAAAGGACAACAAGATTCCATGCTTTTCATTTTATCCATGCAGTGTTACAATGTTAAATAATGCCTACTGTGACTGCATGATGGAGACATCTGACATCAAAAGAGCAAGTGTCCCCTGGTGACTCACTCAGAAATAATTGGAAAGGTTCCTGAAGGTGAGAAAGTTTACAAAGCTCAATGAGGTTAACAAATCAACAATATCTCACATTCTTAAAGTAAAAGCTAGAGAGTAGAAGCTACATAGTTCAATGGTAGGAACAAAAAGAGAAGCAGGAAAACCTCCTGCTACGTGAAAATGTTTGTTGGTGGTGTTCAGCAGCTATAATACCCGGACAGCAATAAATGGACAGCTTCTTAAGTGACATACTGGATAAATGTTTTGGATAAGGACTTGGGAACTTTGCTGATAAAATGGTTTGGAAGTTGAGACTTCTGTTTTGAAGCCTTTTCAATATTTTCAGACAGAACCCCCATTATTTGGTCTCTAACATACCTCAGTACTCTGTGAATGACATCTAATTTGGTCCTGACAACTTGTCCACTTACGTTCCAGCTTTTGTCTATATTTATTATAATTCCTTCACAACTTCACAACCAGCCTCTCTCCCAGCACATGCTTTTCTCTGTCTACTGCAAAGAACTTATTT